AAAATCTAAATGCACTAAAATTTACTTACCAACATTACTAAATTCTTTAAACAATACAACAATTTCTTCTTAAACTATAAATATTAACTCTTTTATCATCAAATGGCTCATACAAGGTTTTTTACTAACTTCTTGTATTTAATAATGTTCAGACAATCACTTAAAGGTTTTCTTCAACCTATCTTAGCTAGAACCTAATTTGAAATAGTTAGCTATAGCATTCATAGGAAATAGGATATGTAATGTCATATTGGATGCTAATTTGTAGCACAAATGTAGTTTAGAAATCTTTAATTTTAGAACTTATGATTCTATATATAAAAAGTTTCTAGTTGAACATTATATAAATAATAATAAAAAAATATATATTCAATTTTTAACTCTCTATACTTGCTAGCTAATTATTTAAGTTTTTAGATTGTTGGTTTATATTTAATAACAAACATACTCAACAAATCAAAATTATTCAAGAAAAAACACTTCAACTTACAAATATTGTTAGTACAAAAATAATTACAGATAAACAAATTATCTATATAATCAATACAATTATTATATCTATACTTGAATATAAATTATACAACATTATTATACTTCATTCTACATGCAACAATATTCTTGCTAAATATGTAACAATAGCCAAATGCAAATCCTATCTAGCATATTCAATTTCTATTAGTACTATGCTTAACCCATACTTGTATAATGTTTACAATATATAGAACATTCAACTTTAACATTATATTACTAACTTCTTACTACAACTTAACAATCCTAATTTACTAGGAACTTCAACACAGATCAGACTACAACAGCTCCAAAACAACCTATGGTCAACTATTAATATACTTCAATACCCCAATTCCATCATCAATAGCTCAAATAAATATACCTTAAATTTCAAAATTATTCAATTACTGATATACTTAAATATATCCATAATAGCTAATCTTAATATTTTATAGCCAAACATTATATCATACAATTTCCAATCACTAGAATCAATTTTATCTCAACATTCTTAATATATTAGTTTTAAAAAACAAATCAGAAATCTCAACATTCTATATTTTGAACAATTTTGTACAGTTGACAATACTACTTTACTAAAATGAAAACATCTCTTACTACAATTATTATACTTATCTAAAGACCAAAAACTATTATGATTTATTTATTTGAAAGTCACTGTAATAGTTCACAATAGTTTTAAAATTCTTTTTTCACACTACCAACAACCAGAATATAACCTATTTGTATACAGCTTACAATATATTTCTAAAAAATCTAAACCCTGATTACTTATATACACTGACAATAAGATTATTATTAGCAAAATTCACAGACATTTTAAAAACACTAACCAAAAATCTATCACATACTGGCAAACAAATATTGACATAAATTACTCTGGCTACTATCTGCTTTTATCAACCCAATGCTTACCTTGTTTAGGCTATCATTTAAACTCTAACAAAATTTAGAATTTATGACAATTAATGTATTTATAATTATCTTTTCTTAATTTCTAGAAAGAGTCAATTCTAACTTATTAAATTTTAATGCCAACTATATTAACCTTATTCATTTAATAACCATTAAACATCTACTATTAGTTCCTCTAATATCAACAATTCCAATTCTTAATTTTTATGTTTTTAAAATATTCAAAACTATTGAATAGCAAATATACTCAAACAATACTCAATTCTTAATAACTTTTAACAACAACTTAACTTTAATACTGATAGCTTAGTAATTAATATTATAACTGATCAATGTACAATAGGCATTGGCTGAGTTCAGGTTAACAACTATAATCAAATTATTTACAAATTCTCTGCTAAAATTAACTTCTGGCCATCATTCTACAAAGCAGAACTAATAGCCATTTTTTCAACTATTTCTATTACATTCCAAAATGCAATAGTCAATATCTTTACAGATTCCCAATCTATTATTACTAAATATTCTAATATCTATACTATATTTTTTAATTCTAATAAATTTTTTAAATTTAATACATAGCCTATATGGCATACCTTATTAAATATTATTAAATTTTACAATCTTCAGATTAGGTTTCATAAAGTTCAAGCTCTTACTGACAATGATCTAAACAACTTTGCTGACTCTCTTGCTAAACAACATAATCTTTCTTCTAATCTATACTTCAACTATACCAATATTTACAACCTATACTATATGTTATTTTGGAACCAACATTTTATAGAATATCCTACTAGAATGTTTATCAAAAATATTTACAAAACCTATATTCTGGCAATGTTGTTATCTCAAAAATAAAACCAAGAATGGAACTAACTTATTTTAGAAATAGATTAGAGATCCACTTGACTATACTTTAATCATAACTAAAAATTAATACATAATATAACTAACTTCAAACTTAATCATTTCAAATTCTTTAAAATCAAAATTCTACTAAACAAACTACATACACACTTCCTATATTATAAAATATACCTATATACTTTTTATAATACAAACTACATTTATTACAACCTATCTGACTCCTTAACATATTGGTAAACATGTTCTGACCTAACACTACTTACTAGTATTATTTAAAATACTATTTCCAAACACATTAGCCAAAACAGCCTGAACCTCTTTAAACTTTAGTAAGAAGAACTTATTCAAAAAATTCAAAACCATAAAACCTTTCATTAGATACTATTTAATAAAAATTTATTTTATCTTGATATTATTTTTAAAAGACTTATACCCAAATCTTTAATTCAAACAATTCAAAACCTTAACATTTTTTACAAATTAACATCATAAATAACTATTAAAATATTACTTGAAATCAATAAACTATGCCATGAACTACTCTGAAAACTATATTGCAAAAACTTCTCAAATTAGAAAAAATAACAAGGTTTTAAACTTCTTTTTTCTAAACACTTAACTCAAACCAATCATAATAGACAAATAAATACAACCACCAAACATATACATATTTATGTATATATAGATTACTTGATCAAATATATTCAAACTTCAATACATGTTCACTTATCAGTCATGCTATTAGAAAAATTAATATATGAACTATTCTCTAAATCAAATACAATATTTTGTTTAACTGTATTTTAACTATCCAAATCTAGGTGAGTCTTGATTACTCTAGTAGGTTTAGGTTACAAATAAATATGTTTAAGCTTTATTTTTGAATATAGTTTTCTTCTTAGTTGTATTTAAGTTAGTAATATATAGTTAACAGTTTAATAATTAGTCCTAATTGCAAGTGTTGGCCTTAGCCATAGCATTTATATAGAATTATTTTTGTATATAGTAATTTCATAAAGTTACTAACTTTAAAAACTATCAATAAAGATATGAGCAAGGCCTTATCTTAATACTAAAAAAAAATTAGATTATAAGAAAAATTTAACATTTTAAAAGATTAAAATATAAATTCTATTAATATATTATTTATTTCTTAAATAATAAATAATTTAGAGTTAATTAAGTTCAAAAAAAAATTTAAGTTAAAAAATTGTCATTTTACAGCATTTATTTCATGTTTTTAAAGTAAACAGTTCATATATATTTAATTTATAATTCTTTTTTGTATAATTTTATGATGAATACAGATTATTTTTGAAATTTTTAAGAAAAACATAACTTAAATTTTTAAATATTAAATATTTTGAATGATATCTGTATGCAATTAAACAATAAGTGAATAATTAAATTATTATAATTTTAAAGTTTAAAAATATTATTATTAGCAAACAATTATAATTTAAGTTTTTAGAAACAAAATTTGAATAAAATAAATTGTAAAATTTAAATTTTATTGTTTATTTTGTTATAACTTAGACTAAGCTATGAAAATTAAACTATTAAATATTAACAATATTTTTTAATAAAGTTTAAGCAATATTTATATAATTTTTTTAAAAAAAAATCAATTTTGATGATTGATGACAGGTACTATATTTTTAATAATATATATAACTTTTTATCTTCAAAAAGAATACTAATTATCAACTATCCTTTATGCTCAATATATACTGATTATTAACTATTCTTTATGCTCAATATATACTAATTATTAACTATCCTTTATGCTCAATATATACTGATTATTAACTATCCTTTATGCTCAATATATACTGTTTGTTTTTGATGTGAATATTCATGTAAGGAGCATTGTTATCATTGCTATCACTGTTAAGAGCGCATGGTCATTGTTTAAAGAAGCACGATGGGAGTAAAATTTCAGTGATTTTGAATATTTAAATGGTTTCTAATTGATAAATAGATTTTTTGGTTATGGCAATTTTAAATACAATTATTTAAAGTCAATTAATTTTCTTTTTGATAATTTTTTATCATGAATTTTAAATAACACATGGGTAATTATTTTTGAATCCAAACCAAAGCCAAAATTTTATTACGTCACATATAAAATTGGTCCGGATTCAAAAATAATTACGTACTCATATTGTTAACTTGAGAACTTTAAATTGTAATACGTACTCTACGTACATTGCCATATATCGATACGATTAGAGACAATCATTAATCGTTATTTGAAAATACGCATCAAAATTTTTCGATACAAATCGGGCTTATTATTTGCTGTATACTACGTACTATATAAACTGTTGCAACACAAAATTCTCAAAATCATATGATTATGAATACTATATCGAAACAATGTTTGGGAAGTTGGTCCGGCATTAAATAATTCCGAACATCAAATTGATTACCAATCAAACAGACAATTAAAATCGAGATTTGTAATCGGACCAAAATTGGCACATTGCAAATATCAACATTGCATTAGTCACATTACAAATATCACATTACAAATTACTATTAGTAACACATTGTGGAAATTTTATATATAAAGACAAAATTTTCTGTTTGTATCGACTCAAAAAAAAAAATAAAAAAACACCAACCCAAAGATTAAATTAACAATAACAAAAAATTTAAAGAATTAATAAATAATTTAGAAAATGACTTCCGACACAACATCACGAATGCCATGCTATTTTATTTCTCATGGTGGTATGTGTATTTATCGTTATAGCTATTATAGAAAAAATCATAACCAAATATATTGATATTTAATTCGATCTATTGAATTTAAGGACCAACTGTATTACTCACTAAGGAAAGTGATGATCATAAATTTTTTAAACAATGGGGAGGTAAAATTTTGAATCAGGACAAACCAAAAGCCATTGTCATTATTTCTGCCCATTGGGAAACTATAGATGGGATTAAAGGTTTGTTATTTTAATATACTTTAAAAGAAAAAAAAATAACAAAATATTGAATTGATACACATTAATATTTGATATACATCATTATGGATATTAATTCGATGTTAGTTGGAAAGTTCGAAGGAGAAACGCCAATTATTTATGATTTCGGTGGATTTTCTGAAGAACTCTACAGACAAGAATATCATGGCAAAGGGTCACCCGAATTAGCAGACAAGATTGTCGATATACTAAAAAAGGTATTTCTTTTATATATGTTGTAAGTGGAAACAGAATTTAAGTAGATTTGAAATTTTTATATAAAACCAACATTTGTGGTTGATGTTATTATTGTAATTTTGGGTCGATTTTATCATATAAACACCCTTACCTTAACCCTAGTTTAACTAGGAAATTCCAAATATACTTAAATTCCTAAATTAACTAAGAAATTCCAAATCCACTTAATCTCATTCCCATTTACGACATATACATTTTATTTAAAATTGTGACAAACACTTACGAACGTGTAAATTAATAATAGGCCAAATTCAATGTAACGGTTGATACGACTCGTGGATTTGATCATGGGGTTTGGATACCTCTTAAGATAGCTATTCCTGAACCAGGAGATTTACCTATAGTACAGGTATCTCTTAAACGTCACGCGTCATATGAACATCATATTAAAGTTGGACGTGCTTTAGCATCCTTAAGGTATTAAAAGTTTTAACATTTAAAGCAGTAAAGTTATTATAACAAATAATACAATTAGTGACTAAATATGTAATTACGTATACACGCAAAAATAGAAACGAAGGAGTTCTTATTATTGGCTCGGGTATGATGGTCCATAATTTAAGAGATTCATTCGGATATTTCGATCGTTCAAAAATGACCTTTTCGGGAGAAATACTCCCATATACTACACGCTTCGTAAGAGATATGGATAAAATTTTGTTCGAATCTAATGCTGAAGAAAGAGAAAAACAATTAATTAAATTGATTGACCATCCAGTCCTGAAACAAGCACATCCAACTGATGATCATTTGGTTCCCCTTCATGTTGCAACCGGTGCTGCTGGGCAAGATCCGGCTGAAAAAATTTTCGACCTTTGTGTGGCTGGGATGAGTTCAGGTTCAGTGGAATTCTGTGCTCGTGGATAAAAAATTTAATACTATATCATCGCGGACATTTGTTCTGGACTCTTATTATTATTATTTTACTTATTATTCAAAATAAATCATTAATTAATCATTTATAGTTACGTATATTTAGTAAGTTTGATATATACATATATGATAATCTTTATATATATATATGTGTCCAATAAATAAATACTTATTATGACAACGAAGTAATAACAATAAATATAAGTTTAACCGAAAACCTGTAATCCATCTTTTTCGTGATATGACTAAGTACTGTATTGTACTGTAGTACATATGAATATTGATATTCAATAACTTTATAACTAATACAGTGCCATTAAGAATTTTTTTCATTACCGAAAATTTAAATCACTATTTTCATCAATATGATTCTAACATACTCTAACAAACTGATGCTCTTATATACATCTGACTACTATCAATGATAATTACACGTGAAAATGAGTACTACGTATTCGTCGCAGTTAAACTGTATATGTTGCTTGGTTTCTTCGTCGTGATAAAATTATCAAAGCGCCGACTAACTTAGAATTAAGCTCTCATTCACTATTTAATTTAATTATGTCATTTATCTTTATTTACATTTTCCTACGTCAATTCATTTAGTTAATTAATTTAATTAATTAATTAGTTATATGGATTTAAACAATATATTAGGTACGTACGTACATATGCAAGTTCTAATTAGTTTAGAACAATTTCTATAAAACATTATGCGGACATGCAACTTAAAAAGCTATAAGTAGTTCCGTGTACATCTTCAATTTAGAACTCGTCCTAACTAATAAGAAACAGTAGCGTAGTTAAACTTTATGTTACTGTCGATTTAATTTCTATAAATACTGTCGTTTTTCGTTTATGACTTCTTTGTTAATATACGGAAGAAACTTGTTTCAGTCTTAAAGATATACACCAAAGAAGTTCTTAATAAAATAAAGGTCTTAGAATTGAAATACAACGCGTAACGTCTTTATAAGACGAACTACACTTTATTAAATCTTACAATTTACTGCGTAAGAACTTGTGTAGTTTTTAATTTTACATGCGCTGGAATTCTATCAAGTAATATTTAAAAAATATTTAAGGTGTTTAGTGCGTAAAAGTATTTACCCTCAATAACTTTTACTAAATTTCATTTTTTTATTTACAAAATCATGAATATATAGTTTTCGCGCGATAACACGTATAACTGTTTCGAAAAAAAATGGAAATGACTATTAATGCAAATGTTATTAATCACGGAGAAAATAAAGAAAACTATGATCCTTCTTCAAATACTTTTTCACAAAACGGCACTGGTGGTGTTCTTCGCCCAACACAGAAAATTAGGCAAACTCGGTCACAAGTGCATGGCCGTCCTCCATTGTTGGAAATTCCCGTGAATAATTTGAGAGGAAGGAATAATGAATTAAGCGAAGTATGATGAAATTTAAAATGTTTCATTTGGATGGAACATTATATAAAGATTTTCCTATTCAATTTTTATTTTATCTATATTTGTATGAGATTAGAATGTGTCTGATCGTAATGCTACAGCTATACCTCAAGTAATGAATAATCGTAGTTTAACTCAAGTTGGTTCACATGTTTTTCGTGTTAGAAGTGATTATATTAGAAGTCAACAAATTATTGGACAAAGAAGTGTCGGGAGGACATCAATTGGCCGTCGTAATATCCATGCATCAATCAATGATGATATTCGACGTGATTTCAGGCAAAGAGCCGCAATCAACTCTATTAACATTAATACATCACAACCAATTATCAATTATGATCATGATCAATCTGCGATTTTTCACCAAAACCTTCAAATTAATAGAAATGTCAATGGTAATGAACAGTCTGGTACTGATGTTAATCGCGGAAGATTAACTACTGAGTCCGCTTTGTTATTTGAAAATGATATTATGATGGATTCAAACTCGTTACACTCTCAAGGTATGGAAATCGAAGATTCTCAAGATATGGATATTGGTTCCTCTCTTCCATGACAAAATCCATATCTTTGAACGTTTGTTTGCTAATTTGGTTTTATGGTAAGTTTTTTATTTTTTTTTCAATTGCTTCTATTGTTGCATATATTTCATGTTTAATAACTACGTATTAATTTTTTCTATAATCTTTTATAAGGTTCTATACGATTAAAACGGTTCTCTTCATAATTAGTCGAACATTTAAAAACGTTTACAAATATTAAATAGAACGTATGAATCTTAACCTTTATAATAGAATAGAAAACTTTATTGATTAATACTCTATTATTTGTTATAGTCTAAGAACTAATTATTGTAAAGACATTTGATCAAAGATTGGTGACTCGTTCCTGAAAAACATTTAATAATTCTAAATGTTTTTTAAATTTAATTATACCAAATAATTGTTAATAGTTAGTTCTCACTTTTAACTACATAATTGAAGTTTAATTTACTGTAGATAAATTTGAAAGAAATAATATTTCACAAATCGTACTTTGGCAAAGAATAATTTTTTATAATACATTGATCATTGTAAATAGTCATCCATCTTCTTATATTCGACAAAGATAGAACAATCAGATCAATATTTATTAATAGTAAAGATAATACGTTATCCCTAAGAAATTAAACAAATTCTTATTTAACTCATAGAGGTAATCGTAAGATAGCAAGTATGCACAGACGAATATAAAGAATTTAAAAATGAATATTAATAATTGAAGGAATAATCGAAATTACATAAACAATACTTTTTCTCTAACGAATGTAATATAAAAACTCTTTGTAATATAAAAACTTTTTTATTTTATCATCATTCAATATGAAAATTTTATAAATTTTATATCATTAACTGGTATCATTGTTAGTCGACACAGTCATCGACTAGCATATTATTTATCTAAAAAAATTTCGCTGTAAATCAAATTTAAAGACCAGATATAATGCAAAAAAAAAAAAAAAATCGTTTATAAAAAATTCATTCTGCGCACCAACAAGAAGTTTTTCATGTGAAATTTTGATAATCCTACTATGATAACTATCCCAATTATGGTGAAGACTTAATCTTAGTATAATAGCCAAATGTTTTAAGTTAATACAGTTTCGGCTAACAACTATAATTATCGAACAGACCGATCAATTGGTCATTCCAACCTTGAATACAATAAATATTTACAAGTTCATAATGATTAAAATTATTAGGTAAGAACTAGCGTAGAGAAAATACATAAAATAGTAGATGTCATTGTTTTTCGTTCAAATAACACTTTTTGAGCTATAAATCGATAATATACAATCACAATAACTACTAAATCTCAATTATACTATATATTCGTGCCTGATTAAACATATGAATAGTAAGTTAAGTGATTGTGAAAGTGAGATAAATTTATTTTTTGAAATAGATATTAAATATGACTAGCTTTTGGTATATGTCATGTGTAGAGTTCCGGTCCATCTATCGGATATCCAGACCTGAATTTATTCGGATTTCCGTTTTTCTATTAATATCCGGATAAATTCAGATATCGATATTAATGAATGGATGACGGATTTATCCGGATTGGAACTCTAGTCATGTGCTAGTCAATCAAATCTGTAGCGTACGTACGTAAAAAAAAAGAAATTTTCTCACATACTGAATTTTCCCCTTAAATATTAAGCGACTTTTCGACAACTCTAAGATTCAAAATAACATAACTCGCCAAATTTTTCAGCTTCAGAAGGAATTGTTAGAAAGTAGTTTAAGAAATAGCACGAAAGAATTTTTAGATTTAGTGAAAAGAAAAATAAATAACTGCTGTAACAACCGAAAAAGAAAAATAAATAACTGCTGGAACAAACGAAAAATAAAAATAAATAACTGCTGAAACAAACGAAAACGAAAAACAGACAACTGTGGGAACAAACGAAAACGAAAAACCGACAACTGCTGGAACAAACGAAAAAGAAAAACAAATAACTGCTGGAACAAACGAAAAAGAAAAATAAATAACTGCTGGAACCATAGTCGTTTAAGTTATCAGGGTTGAGAATTAGAGAGGAGTAATTTGCACAATAAAATTACAAGAACTTTTAATTAGAGCATTAAAGGTGATTTCTATATGCTGATTTTTGACAAAACGAACGTTTGTTTTGAATTTTCATGATCGTGTTACGTCACTCCTGATCTTGAAATTTGATTCGTAGTTCAGGAAATCTATACCACAAACCTGGTACACATTGAAGAATTTCTAATAAGATAGCATTTCTAAATCAGTTATATGCAAAGAAAGATTTTTGTTAGAATGCGAAAGATAGTTTGATTATCAAAAATTTGGGATAAGGATACTTTCATGATTTGATCTAGAATATTCTAAGATTTTTTTTGCGTACTGTAATGTACGCGGCACATCACTAGCTGGAACTAGCTAAAAAGCATCAGGAACTAGTGAAAAAAAAAGAACTACTTTTGGAATTAACTGAAAAGAAAAATAAAGAACATCAGAAACTAAAAGATAAATTTAATGAGATTCGGAATACAGCTGAAAAGAGAACACAATTATTGTTATAAATGAAGCATATGTGCAACATAAGGGGTAAGTTAGAGTTTATTTTGTGCACAGGTAATTGCTTTTGTAAGTGCTTCTTCATTCTTACTATTTGATTCTTGAATATTGAGAGGAAAATTCTATGATAGATTTTGGCAGATAATAAGTCGATCAAATTCGAGGAACCTGTTGATAAAGCTCTGATGCTATTATCTCAAGATGAAAATTTTATAAAACATATGAAGAGAGTAAGTAGTGTTGTTAGGCGAAACCATTTTGGGCAAATGGCGAAAGACGAAACCTAAACCTGGCGAAAGACGAAAGACGAAACTCCCCGGCGAAACTGGAGAAACCTGGCGAAATTGGCGAAACCTGGCGAAACTGACGAACTGGCGAACCTGACGAAACTGGCGAAACCTGACGAAAGTGGCGAAACTTCTGGCGAAAGCAAAACTTCAAAACTCAGCGAAGATCAAATCCTCTAATATTTTGGAAAAGACTAAGCCATGTTGATGAATGAAATATTTTGTGTAGTTATTAAGTACAGCAAGTGGCTCATATAAAAAATGTATAAACAAAGCAATAGCTTTTTGTTTGTATTCAAATACTATTAAAAGAAAGCTAGAACACGGGTTTTAGAATTTATAATTAAATATACTCAGCTTGAAATTCAAAGCTTAAATATTTTCTTTTAGAATCACTTATCTATGTATTAATATTATTCATGTAAATAATCATAAAAGTTTTAATTTAAATTTTAAATAAATTTATTATTAAATTGTTGTTTTTTTCTTTTTAACATTTCATTAAAAACATTAAGTACTATACAGTATATATGTAAGTAGTTCATTAACATTATTATAATTAAAATTCATTTTCTAAACCTCAGATATTTATTTATAATAGTAAAATTTGACTGTCAATATATGACAAATATTTTTAATGTAATTATATATGTGTTGTGTGTAAATTAGTGATTTGAACCGGTTGGGCTATAATCGGTTAACCGACCCGACCCGAATAAATTTCGGATAACCGGTTGAACAAATTCTTAATCGATTGATCCGGTACAAGCGGTCGAGAATCGGGTAACCAGTTGATAGGATCGATAAAGTATGTAAATGACCAATAAAGAGCAAAGATTCCGAAAAGGAACTGAATGAACATAAGAGACGAGCAAGGTTGAACCAAAAATTTGAGTGAAGCTCCAAAAATTTCCGAGGTAAGAACAAGAAGTAGAGATTATTAATCTCGACCGGTTGTAATCGGTTGGCATAAAATAATTCGGTTTGGTTAACCGATTGAGTATATTTTTTTCGGTTCAATTCACTAGTGTAAATGTAGGGTTAGAACTATATGTGGTAGTAGAATTATTGAATTATGTTATTACAGCAGTACCTGAATGCCATAAATATTATTTGCTGTAATGATGTATTGCCATATTGCCATATTGCTGGAATGTAATTGAAATAATTCTTAAATGTGTGTCTGGTTTGTCTATAGCAAAAATTCTTAATTATTATATGTAGCTGCAAAAATAGTAGTAGTAGTTAAATTACCAGTCAAAAAAACAGGTGTTGATCTGCAAAATTTCAACCAATATTACATATTTGTTTACTAATTTTTGGCCAAAATTACATTTTTTAACTTTTTTATTCTCAAAATAGAAATTTCTAAAGAAATAAACCTACAAAATGGTAAAATTAGCCCAGAAATAATTTTTATTTAATGAGTAGCTGTAAAATTTCAGCTAAATTTTTTTTATTGTTATTACTTTTAGCCAATAAATCAAGAATCTGCTAGATACCTTATATCAAACAAAAATCGAACCTTTTCAGTATCTATATCTGATATAAAAGAGTAAGTATTATATGTAAATATTAATGCTAAACATTTTTAATTAGAAGTCAGAAGTTGGTTAGCATAATAAAATTTTTTTTTGGTATTTATTTTTTACTCAAGATATTATGATTTAATTGGTGCCAAACCAGAAATTTTAAAGTTGAATGTCGATTTTCACTTGACATAAGGGTACCTGAATCTGCTAAAACAATTTTGTTGTGCTATGTTTTTACTAGTTTTACTAAGTTTTGTTAGCTTTGCAGATTTTACCAGTTTCACCATTTTATCTTTTTGATTTATTTTTAGTAAAACCTTTAAGTTTCATCTAACAACTGTATATGACATATATAATAAAGATGGTAAAGCCCTATACTGATACACAATTCCTAATTATATAACTATAATTTGTAAAATAGTACAATACTAATAAGAAATAAGTAATCATATAAAAAAAGAAATATTCAATTAAAAAAATATATTTGTACAAATACACTTAACTTGTCACTTAGCCATATACTTTGTTTTTAGTATACATCAATTTAGTATTTAAAAATTTTTGTTTTTTTTTAGTAAAATATTTAAATAAATTTACTATGTATTATATAGTTAAGGTTTTTTTTTTTAGCATTTTATCATTAACATTTT